GCTGTAGGCATGCCTGTTAGCTACCAAAAACAGGAAACTTGCTGTGGGGAGCCAGGCGTCTGGTGTATGTTTTTCTAATTCAATTAAAATTGGCTGCCTGCTGCTGCTGCTGCTGCTGCTGCTGCAGCAACAACAACAACTACTGCCGTGACGCCTCATTATGGCGTCTGCATATGCAGCCCGGCCTCAGCCGGAGCTGTGTAAGCATCTGTTTACGCTTGTATTGGTGTTAATGTTAACTGTCACTACATTTGGCCGTGTACGCGCATCGAGTGTCCTGACTGCCTCCCCCTCCAGTTGCAGTGCTGTTTTAGTTTATTATGTAACTGTAAAAACATGCCTCTATATCTGTGTGTGCGTGTCCCGTTGCGTGGCTGTTGTTATAGATTTAGGCCATGATGTCGCAACTGGTTAGCGTGCCTTGTAAATAATTGAATAACAATGCCCGCAATTTTTCAACATCATGTGGCAATGTTTGCCTTTGTTTTGGGAATTAGATTGCCCACTGCCATTGCATATTGCGGGTCTTAGCAAGATTTAGATAAAAATAAAATAGTATAACATTTGCCAGGCCATAAACACGTTCAATAATATTCGCTTATGTTTATTTTACATTTAATTTGTTTATCAATTTTTGAATTTAGCAAGACCTGATTAAACAAGTGAAATATGATCTAAGTTTATTCAATAATTTAATATAAATTTTGTTTTATTTAAGCATTGTGAAAGCTTCAAAATAGAAATAATTGCTGATAGTTTTAAGAACAGATACACATAATAATGAGCCTAGGAATGTCAGAGGGAGTGTGAGAGCGAGAAAGATAGATCGAGAAAGGGAGAGAGAGACCTTACCCAATAAAATGAATTCATTATTTAGAAACTGTTAGGTTCAATTGTCCCTAGGCGGACATATTATTATTTGTTAGATTTGTTAAGCTTTTTATAAAAATATAGATATCGTTATTATTTATAGTGACATGTGAAGAATACAGAGAAACTCGACACGGTCTGAATGTATTGAGTCAGCTATATATATTGATGTATATATTCTAATATATTTTTGATTCGGCTCTGTTGGTCTGCTTGTCGCTATTTCAATAGATCGATTAAATAGAATTAATAATAATAATAATCAGCAGTTCTCTCTAAAATATACAAATTTAAATTCTCTTAAAGAATATACAATTTATGAGTACAATATTTCAATTCAATACGAGAAAATTGTGACGCTCTATGCTAGATACAAGATACCACTAAAGTTGTCAATTATTTGCTTTAGTTAAATATATAAATATATATATATATATATATATATATATATATATATATGTATCACAACGGATTATCGCTGCTTAACTTTAATAATAAACTATAGCAAAGTTGAAAGCAAATATCCCAGCTTTGTATCGGATTTCAGTATTGCGCAAATGTTTTTGCTTTCACATAGAAAATTTTAAGGCAATTTTAATTAATGTATTTGGTTGGGAGTGTGACGCACCTGAGCTGCCACCTGCGAATCCAATTAGAAATTTTGCGCTTTTTGCACGCTTTGTGTTATTAAATATTTCACAAGGGGCTGCAGAACAAATCAGGCTGCAGAACAAATCAGGCTGCAAATGTGCTATTATTGCTATTTTGTGATGTGCCCAGCAGAATTTAAATGAATATTTGTGCTACAATATTATGTGAGGAGCAGTGGGTGGTGGGGGGAACGGCAACACGGCGTATGCGTCACTTTTGGATCTTGTTTATTTAAGAGCGTAGCGGAAAACATTTTCCAAATTGTCGCCAAAATGCGTGATAGGAAATCTCTGGCATAAATTGAGCCTGAAATATGTATATGAAATGAGTAAAATTGAAACTAAATTATGAACATAAACTGGCTAGCTGTGTGCGTGGCTCGGTAAATATTAACTCAACTTATTTGTAACCGAGATGAAAGTAAAGACAAGCATAAATGACTGAGCAAAGCGAATCATCCACAATTCTCGAATTAGGTATTTTATGAATATAAATTATAGTCGAAATTTATTCAAGCATTTCTAATAAGCTGAATGCTTAAGCACACACAAACACACGCACGCACACACAGACACAGCTTATATTGATATAAAGTTTGTCTTTGGTATGTCTTTCAGGCAAATTATAGTTTCGGCTGGAAATTTCATTTTAATCATAGCACAAAATGATGACAAAGCCATGAGCACACAGAGTGCGCATCGGGGAGGGATAGAAGACATGTTAATAGATTTGCTGTTGCTCTGGGATGTGGCTGCTCGAACAAAGTGATTAATTATGGTTAATAAAGAGGAAAATCGTTGCCGATTAAAATTGCTGCCGTTGTTAAGCCAGTTTGATGTGCATAGAACACTTACAGCATGACAGTTTATATGCTTGAGTTACTTTCATAGCCACTGAAAGGGTTTAATGAGACAATTAACACGCATTCCGGCCCAGACAAGCATTTCAAAATGAGTAAAACACAGTTAATATACTAAATTGTTATATGAAAGCAATCAATTGGAAATTTGTTTTGTATTCAAATTTGATTTAGATATATTAAATTTACAGAATAGATTATGTAGGCTTTTCAGGAACAGCATCTGAAAACAGAATAAATTCCTATTACTTTAAAATGATAAGATGTTTTTTATTTATTATATATATGTTGCTAATTGGGGCTTGAGTTGAATCTGTTACTTGATAATATGAACTGAATTCTGAACGAAGACATTTCAATTGACTGGGAGTTTACAAACTCTCTTTCATTTCTATAAGCCTTTAGTTGTTCTCATAATTTTAAATATTATTTAATATCATTTTAAATATTATAAAGAATTTAAATATATTTTTTATAAACAATTTAAATATATTTTTTATTGTATATTTGTTTATTTTTGTTATGTGTCCAGCTCAAAGCTTGTTAAGTAAACCAACCTCATTTTCATTTTTTTTTAAATTTTCGTATAATTATTAACAAATATTTATACCCAACTTAGGAATAGATAAGCTCATAAAAAATGTAGATTTTTTAATATAATTTTTTGATAGTCCAATTACATCAGGCGTTCCATTCTGTTCTCACTGCCCGCTGCCCGCTGGCGAGGCAACCTAAAAGCAATGCACATAATTCACATGGAGCGTATAATTGAAATATCGTGACTTGGCGCTATACTCTGGCCGGCACATAAAATTTTATTAAATGCCGAGCGGCGGCAGCGGCGGCAAGAGCAAAACAACGAGTACAATGGGAAAACTAGACGCACGAGCCATTATAACTTTAGACATAATTTATGATAGCACTTGCTAGATGCTCGCCTCAAATACACGCACACATACATACACACACATACACATATATATACATACATCATTTTTGCTTTTATTTTTCACTGCTCCCAGAAGGCGGAGCGAGCTTATTCGCTTTTAGCATATTCGTTAGCTTGTGAAAATTCTTTTGAAAATGAACGAAGCTAGAAGCTTGGCTCACTTCATGCTTGCTTTAGATAAACTACCATGTTTATTAAGAATGTTTGAAGGGGTTTAAAATATGATTCATTAAATAAGCTGGAGTTTTTAGAGTCGTAGTTGCAATCACGGCTTTAGAGGCCTTAGGTGATAACACTGCAAACAGAGCATTAGCTAGTCGTCACTCTTAGTTATTTTCTTGAGAAATAATATTTTTATACTTATTTCGTTGCTCGTGTATTTTTAACTTTGCGTGTGAGCAATATTAAATAGAGAACACGAAGTGCTGTCAAATTTGCCAACTGCTCAAATTGGCCGCGATACAGAAATAGGTACAGATACAGATACAGATGCAGATACCGCAGAGATACTTGGAGGTGCTAGGTACTGTAATTGTAAGTCACTTTGCATGTGCGACACGCAGCCTGCCGTATCCTGCCTCTGCACGTGTGTGCGTGTGTGTGCGGAAGCGCGTGTGCCTTTAAATAACGATACACTTGTGTATCTGGCGACGACCCTGATGCTGATGCTGATTCTGATGCTGATGCTCTTATCGCGCTTCGTAAATCACGGAAATACAATGTAACAGTTTGTCATAAAGTTGACATGCGCGCGCTCCCGACGCACTCATCGGCTGTAGATAAATTAAATATCTTAATGATTTTCAACAACAAAAGGCAGCTGAATTTTATTTATTGCGCGCGCACCAGCCACCTGCACGCACGTCCCCAGATAGTAGATGCCGTTGAAAGCGATTTAAATTCAATTGCACAAATTATTAACGGCTCCCAGTGCGGGTTCTCAACTTGATTGGTTACCCACTGATAATTGCTCTATATAAATAGTTGTTTTGTAATCTAATTATAAGAGAATTAGAGTAATATCTAGTTAAAGGGATATTGCAGCAGAGTCAAGGCGAGCTATATGAAAAGGCATAAGAAGCGGCCAACAAGAAGAAGAGAAAGGCAAGGCTAAAGCATCGCAGGAATAGGGCAGAGAAAAGAATCATAGCAGATAAATTGACAGAAGAATAGAAAAGAAAAGCTAAAGATATAAAAATATAGAAGAGCAAAGACAATGAAGACAACGGAAGATAAGGAAAGAGAATCATAGAAGAGAATATAAAAGAAGAATGAAAAAGAAATGCTTAACTCAAAGAATATAGAGAATATATAAAGAGACAGGTTCAATTTAATAAAGCAATAAAGTAAGGGTATTACACCTCTATAATTATTATATTTCACAATCTTCAAAACTATATTCCACGCACTTAAATTAATTGTTAGATAAGTTGTCTCTACTCACGGTTGATATTACTAAGGTTAATCAAACAAGTAGTGCTAAGATCACTTTAGAAGTGGAGAATGCCTGACAAGGAGATACCTGGACTAATATGAACACATGATTTTTCAACCATAAAAAAAGGTTTTTTTTATACTGCCCAACTGTAAGTTTTTATGAACTTGGCTATTAATATGTTAACTGAAAAAAACTGAAATTAATATTTTTTTATAAACAACAATATACTCAAATCATGCTGATACATATCACATCTTTAATACAGCCTGCTTAGCACACGATTACAATCTTTTTCACATTTACTTTTATAGGCAAAATATAAACACCCATCTAACTTGGACATATAACACTGTCTTGTTTTTATATCATAGTAAAATGAATAAGCGGGATCACAAATTCCACGCCTGTCGCCAGATCTACAAATTTCTAAGAAGGAATAGGTTAAATCGCTATTCGTATTGGTGTCTTTTGTATTCACTTACCCCTCAAAATCTGATCATTTGTAGCCTGTGGGATTACCAAGTGCCAAAGCAAAGAGCAAATCAAAGCGAATATCAGCTTCATGGTGAAGAACTTTTAGCACTAATGTTGCAATTTTATACTTATTTATATTTGACTTATAAACTTAAATAATATATATAAATATATATATTATTGGTTCGTCTAAGTAGCGTAACTCATATGCTAATAGGTAAAAGAGCTCGACTAGAAAATACCCTGAGATATAATTTAATAACTGCATTACTTGCTTATATTTTAGTCCTTCAGATTTTAGATGTGATCACTTTACTGTAACGAATATCTATCTATAGCACGCGCATATCAAGTGTGTTTCAAATAATCGATAGCTATTTCCGCTTTATTGTTATCGATTAAAAACATGACTGAAATGCAGTTATTAAATTATATCTCTGGGTATTTTCTAGTCGAGCTCTTTTACCTATTAGCATATGAGTTACGCTACTTAGACGAACCAATAATATATATATTTATATATATTATTTAAGTTTATAAGTCAAATATAAATAAGTACGAAATTGCAACATTAGTGCTAAAAGTTCTTCACCATGAAGCTGATATTCGCTTTGAGTTGCTCTTTGCTTTGGCACTTGGTAATCCCACAGGCTACAAATGATCAGATTTTGAGGGGTAAGTGAATACAAAAGACACCAATACGAATAGCGATTTAACCTATTCCTTCTTAGAAATTTGTAGATCTGGCGACAGGCGTGGAATTTGTGATCCCGCTTATTCATTTTACTATGATATAAAAACAAGACAGTGTTATATGTCCAAGTTAGATGGGTGTTTATATTTTGCCTATAAAAGTAAATGTGAAAAAGATTGTAATCGTGTGCTAAGCAGGCTGTATTAAAGATGTGATATGTATCAGCATGATTTGAGTATATTGCTGTTTATAAAAATATATTCATTTCAGTTTTTTTTAGTTAACATATTAATAGCCAAGTTCATAAAAACTTACAGTTGGGCAGTATAAAAAAAACCTTTTTTATGGTCTTTAGAAGTATCATTAAAAATATATTGTTTTCAAAATCTATTTGAATTCATACAATCTATTTTAATCAATCATCTGCTTTATCCAATTAATATGTTTTTTATATCTTCCAGCTTCTGTTTAAAAAAGATGTGGAAATAAAAAAGAATTTATACTTAAAGTTAAATAAGCTATTAAAAAAGGCAATTCTTAATTGCAACTTCTTGTAAGATCAATTTAGAAGTGGAGAATGCCTGACAAGGAGATACCTGGACCAATATGTACACATGATGTTTCAATAGTTCCATGCTACTTCTTTACAAACAGAAGCAACAATACTTTCACACACACATGCAGCGCTTACTGCGTATGTTTTAGATGCAGTTTCTAAAAGATAAGAGCCACATCCATAATTATTTAATCTGCTAATTGATCTACGATTCTATTCATTTTGGTTTAATGGAGGAAACTATTAAAAAACTTACAATTTTCGTACGCATCAGAGCAAGTTTTACAGTAAGTTGGTTGGTTAACTCTTTAGCTTTGAGATCTCAGTACTTTATTATATTTAAAAAAGTATTTATTTAAATGCATATAGCATTAGATAATTTTAGTAAATCAGTTACGCTACTTAATAGAACCAATAATATGTGCAAACTACAAATAAAATTGTAGTCTTAGTCTCAAGAAGTCTGTACTATGAAACTGATATCCGGTTTGATTTGCACTTTGCTTTTTTGCTATGCTATCGCAGCTCCAAACTTTACAAAAAATAGAATTTTGAAAGTATAGCGAGTAGGAAACAAATCAATTCATGCAGCGATTTCAGCAAATATTTTTCAGGAGTTTGTAAAAATGGTCTCACGGCAGGAAGTTGCTCAAAAGCTCACTCATTTTACTTTAACCACCTTAATAAAAAGTGCGAAAGCGTCGGTCCGAACCATAGCTGCGGATACTTCAACATTCAGAGCAAAGGTCTAACTCATTCCGATATGAATAATGTGGTAACGTAGGACGAAGTTGAATCAAAAATGTTATTGGCAAAATAAAGAGTCTAAGCTGTGAAATGTTATTCCTTTGCAAGATTGACTAAGGGCTTGGCAGATCGAGGCAAACTGTATTATCTACAGTTTGGCTAATCAAATATAATGAATATATGTGCCTCTTGAGAGCGTGGCATATTTAATCATATGAGTTACGCCACTTAAACGAACCCAAAACATATATATATATACTCATATATATATATATATATATATATGAGTATATAAGTAGCATATCAATAAGCACAAAATTGTAGCCTTAGTCTTAAAAGGTCTTCACTATGAAGCTGATATTCACCTTGATTTACGTTTTAAACGTTGCAATCTCTCTTTCTGCAAGTCATCAGCTTAGTACAAGTAAGCAAATACAAAATGTATAAATTCCAATAGCATTTAAACCAATAGTTCTTAGGAACTTGTAGAGCTGGTCTTCAGCCTGGACGTTGCAAAGATCCTAATACATATTACTATGATAAAATGAATAAAAAATGCCGAAGAATTGGTTTTAATAATGCTTGTGGATATTTTATCATTCCGAATAGATGTGAAGAAGTTTGCAACGCTCGAAAGAAAAACTTTTAATTAGTTGGGCAATAGGGAACAAACTTGCAACAAGTATTTTAGAAAATATACTTGCTTTCCTTTTGATTTGAATGAAATGAAAAATACTTTTTGTAAGTTTTGGTTTCTTAATCTTATAATAGCTGAGCTCAATATTTTCATTTGCAGTTGGACAGAACTATCAAAAGTTTTGTGTTATTGGCTGGTCCCAGGCCTGGATTTTGCTTAAGAATTCAGACATTACTATAATAAAGATACTAAAAAGTGCGAAAGCATCGGTTCCCAAAATGCCTGTGGATTTTTCACTATTCAGGACAGAAACATTTTGCAATAATCTAAAGTTATATGAATACGAGGGATAAGATTGCAGCAATTATTTCAGAAAATAAATTTGAATTTATTTTTGAATTGCATCAATTATCAAAGTATATTATTGCTCTACTCCTCTTTCGATGCATAAAACGAATTATGCAGTACCCTGTATTTTCTACAGTCTTGAAGCATTAGTTCCCATATTTGACACTAACGTTATCGCCTCCACCTCTTCTAAAGGAGCTAACATTCATTACTTGTTTATATTTTAGTCCTTCAGATTTTAGATGTGATCACTTTACTGTAACGAAATAATCGATAGCTATTTCCGCTTTATTGTTATCGATTGAAAACGTGACTGAAATGCAGTTATTAAATTTTATCTGGGTATTTTCTAGTCGAGCTTTTTTACCTATTAGCATATGAGTTACGCTACTTAGACGAACCAATAATATATATATTTTTATATATTATTTAAGTTTATAAGTCAAATATAAATAAGTACAAAATTGCAACATTAGTGCTAAAAGTTCTTCACCATGAAGCTGATATTCGCTTTGAGATGCTCTTTGCTTTGGCACTTGGCAATCGTATCGATTGCAGATGATCAGTTTTTGATTAGTAAGTGAATACAAAAGACACCAATACGAATATCGATTTAACCAATTTCTTCTCAGAAGTTTGTGCAACTGGCAACAGGCCTGGAAGTTGTGATGTCACTTATACATATTCCTATGATAAAATCAAAAGAAAGTGTTATAAAGCCGGCCGGTTGCATGCTTGTGGATATTTTGCCACTCAAAGAACTTGTGAAAAAACTTGCAATCGTCTGTTGAGATACGTGTTATTATTCGGGCAAGCTGTGATTTGAGTATATTGCTGTTTATAAAAAATATTAATTTCATTTTTTTTAGTTAACATTTTAATAGCCAAGTTCATAAAAACTTACAGTTGGGCAGCATAAAAAAACCTTGTTTTTTTGGTACTTAGAAGTATCATAAAAAATATATTATTTTCAAAATCGATTTGAATTCATACAATCTATTTTAATCAATCATCTGCTTTATCCGATGAATATTTTTGTTATAACTCCCAGCTTCTGTTTAAAAAAGATGTGGAAATAAAAAAGAATGTATAGTCAAAGTTAAACTAGCTATTAATAAAGGTAATTCTTAAGTGCAACTTCTTGTAAAGAGTTTGGCTTATATCAGTTTTAAAGATGTAGTAAAAATGTATATAGTTTGCATATGGAGCAGTTGCTTAAGTCTAGTCTGCTTATACTCGCTAGCCTGACCTGCTATAAGCAAAATTATTTTTGCCATTAACAACAGTTAGTATAAGCAAACAAATCAATTGCAATTGCTAAAAGTTCCCAAACTTTCACATAAATTATAGATATCATTTGAGTTGATGTATGTAATCTTTTGTATGTCCGCAAGAGCATTTAAACTTCGACATTGGAGCAGCTCTTGTTCTTACTGTTACCAAGCTAGTTTCTACCATTTACTTTTTGTCTGCTTTTTTGTTTTTGGTCAGTTTCGTTAGTTTGCGAGTTACTTTATTTTAAGGATTTCGGTGGCAGTATCATCGGCAGTCGATTGTCCTTGTTTGTTGTCTGCTCTGGTTTGGCTTGGTTTGGTGCTGGCGCTGGCGCTAATGAAACATACTTCTCTAGTACGTTGTTATTTCATTTGTTATCCTTCATCTTCAGCTGGCTGATTGCCTGGCTGCCTGACTGCCTGACTGCCTGGCTATATCCCCCTCTACAGCGCGCCTCGTCTGCGCCAGCATTTAGCTCATTCTCTCGCTGGTTTTGCTTGGTTTCTTGTGTCCTCCGTTTTATTAGATTTTATTTGCTTAGCCTTTATTTGTCTTTTGCCGTCATTCTCGTTCCAGCAGTAAGTGTCCAATTTTAGCTGGGTGTTTTGTTCTACCCCAGCCACGGGGCATTCAGCAATAGAGTGTGATAATTTTTACACACCCTGGACTTGTCATATGCTGAGTATATTCAGAAGACCATTTGTCATGCCTGTAATTCTTAAAATATATATAAATGCATTTTTTTTTTTAATTTTTAAAAAAATGTTACAAACTTCACCTTAAAAATCTGACACTAAGAATAAAAATTTCCAAAATAGAAACTTTAAAATTCAAAAATATTTCGAAATGCTTTCTAAA